GAGCAGAGTGAAGGCCAGAGTTTTCATCTAAGACTGTAGGAGCAATTTTACTTCTATAAAGCAAGCGTAATTCAGCTGGCATATATCAGTTGGTTTAATAAAATATATTACCTCTTCTTGCAGAGTTTGTCACCTCAACATCAGATGCATTGCACTGAAATTGGTCCGTGGTCAAAGAATTAGGTTCCAGACACCTTAATTCTGTTTTCCTTGTGAAGCTTTAGCAGTCCTTATCAATTTGCCTGAATAAGAACTGGAAAAAGTGTTCAGAAACAACAGAATTTGATCTTACAGTTAGTAACTTGTCTGAGCGACCTTGCTATTCCTGTTTACCATTACATAAATCAGAGCTAAAGGTGTTTGGCATTAGGGTTCTGTTGTGCTTGGTGGTGGTGGTTCTGGATTTTTTTTGTTACGACAACAATCAGAATCTTTTCTTAGCACATAGCTGCCATCAATTCCTTCTGTTTCAGCTTGTGAATAAAAAGTAAGCAACCCATGGGGTAGGGGAAGAAATCGGTTGGCTTAATGCTGGAAATCAAGACAGAGATACGATTCAAATGCTTTCTTTTTGTTTTTTTTTGCCTCCTGACATTTCCCACGTTGCACTGTGCACAGCTGCTGCAGGAAAAACAGTAACTAAGACTAAGCAAAATGGAAAAGTACTGTTGCATTTTCAGTGTCAAAACCATAGAACCCATAGCAACACATTCCCTGGAGGAAATCAGACCAGAAGTCTCTTCATGTGCAGGTAATAGACTGTGAAAGAAGACGAGTTGTTCTCCATCTGTAAACTTAAAAGAAAATAAATTCAGGGGGGAAAGGGGGGCAGGGGGGTATTATTTGGGGTTTATTTTTTATACACTTTAATTGTTTCATTTTTACAGGGAATGTTCTTTTTTGCAATTGTATAAATTGTAACAGTACAGAAAGACTGAACCCCTTTGTTCATGCAGTTTCTGAATTGGCCAGAATGATGTGTGGCCAGAATGAAGAAGGGACAGAAACTCTGCTGTGGATCTCATGGAATAATTTTTTGTTTTACTCATTTTATTAATTGATGCCATTCCTTGAGAAGCAATAAACTGCAAGGTAGAGAAGCAGCTTTCCTATCTAGTTCTGTCTTAACACAGTTAAAGTTTTGTGTGAAGCTCGAGCCCCAATACCTGCATTCACCTTCATCTTACAATTAAGACAAACCTCCAATTTGATGAGACCAGCATCCAGTGGTCCTCAGCCACCTTCCAAACTAAAAATCTTCAACCTGCCCTTCTTCATCTTGTAAACAACTTCAAGCTGCAAGACAGCCCGTTGAAATTCAAATCTTTAATAATTATCTTCATTGGGAACCATGGAAAACGTTAGGTGTGTATGAAATACAAGAAGCAACACATTCACACCCTCTCACTCACTCACTCACATTCCTAATTAGGTGGTGGTTGGTTCTTTTTTTGCCTAACTCTTAGAGCCTTACCATAAGCTGCTCGTTTTGACCCAGCTGCATAAGTTCACCATATCTTTCTCACCTCCTTTACGACTGTTTACGAGGGTGGATAGTGATAGGACAAGGATGAATGGTTTTAAACTGAGACAGGGGAGGTTTAGGTTAGATATTAGGAGGAAGTTTTTCACTTGGAGGGTGGTGGCACACTGGAACAGGTTGCCCAAGGAGGCTGTGGATGCCCCTGGATCCCTGGAGGCATTCAAGGCCAGGCTGGATGTGGCTCTGGGCAGCCTGGTCTGGTGGTTGGCCACCCTGTGCATAGCAGGGGGTTGAAACTGGATGATCATTGTGGTCCTTTTCATTGTGGCCATTCTATGATTCTATGATTCTATGACTTTATGACCATCACTCTTTCCTCATAATGATTTGTGAATCTGTTGGGTGTCAGGACTTGCCCCAATTGATACCTGATATGATTTGGATGCAAATACAGGGCCAGATAGAAAAGAAATTCCCAAATTCTTGTCTGCTCTGCACTGATCCAGAACTGCAAGCAGGGCCGTTCTATTCCAGAAAATTCATGTGGGAGAGAGGTAACAAATGCCTCAACCCCAGGAAAAAAAAGAAAAAAAAAAAAGATCAGAGATCCACCTTATTGATCTATAGACAGACAAGCAAACAAACCCACCGGAGATAAGATTTCATAAATCCGACTACTCACAGAAGTATTTCATTCTACTGAACGCAGCTTTGGAAATTTTCTGCTTTGTGTTCTAGAAGCTTCAGGCAAGAGAAACGACGAAAAAATTGAACTGCAGTAAAAGTCCCAGTATCAGCAGCACACTCTTGTATTTTCAAGATAAACAGAAGTGCAACCAATCCATCCAAAATGAGACATCAGACAACAAATTTCAACTCTTCCCTAGCAGAAAATGGGGCATAACTTTCAGCAGCCGAACAGTCCTTTTGGCTTTAAATTTAATTTACTACGAAGTTATATAAGAGAGAGATAACATGACAGTTGTTGTATTTCTATAGCACTTTTGACAAAGTAAATGTATCACTAAAAACATCATAATCCCCATTCTACAGAAGAAACTCTGACCCATAGGTACTAAAATCTAACAAACAAGAAGCCCCATTTACCTTACAATCTTAAAGTTTTGCTGCCAAAAAGAACTGGAATGATTTAGACTTAGTATACAGCTCAATACAGTTGGAGGACTGCTATGTTGAAGGACGTTTCATGGAGTCAGTATCCCTGAAAGGGCTTTCCACAGTCTTTGCATGGTCAAAATCTGTTTGACTGGCACCTTCTTTATCCTGAGACAAAATACCAGCAAAGCATTTGCTTTTGGGATTCTTCTTACCTGGAAAAAACCTGCCAGCTTTTTGCAACGCAATACCACAGTGCCAAAACAGCAGCAAACGTGCTGCAGTGGTTTTTAGTCATGTACACTCTATGCTGCCTTCAATGGAGCCAACCAGCTCCATTTGATATTGCCACTCTGATCTGCTGTGCCCCTGCTTCAGGTGTGGGACACCACGATTCGGTCAGGCAGTTTTGGTGATAGTGAAAGTCTGATTTTCCCCTCGTCTGAGAAAGTTACCACCTATCCCCTCTGAACTGTTCCAGCTTGGTGGGCAAGATGAACCCAGCAGAAGTGGTCACCAAGCTAAATCTCAGGCTGGACAAAGATGAAATCTTTGGATACAGCTATCAAACCACTTCGAGATTCAGATTGGAAACTGTTCAGTAGTAACTAGTCTCTAAGATAGCAGTAGTGATAACTCCAGAATATTATTGTGAGGTGTTGGTGGATAGTCAAAGACTGAGGATACTCACACAGCTGTGGCACTGTAGCTTTAAAAGCACTGTGATAAAGAGCCAACAGAAGAACCAAATCTACAGGAACAGACTTAAATCAACTTCACTGTACAGCAGTATTATGCAGGCACTGAGTAAGGTTGAAGATAGACTTTTTGCCTCTGTTGTCAGCAAGGACAAGATCACCAATAGAGATATTTACAGACGAACTCCATAACACCACCACCACTAATGCAGGCTTTAAACATACAGGTCAGGATGGAAGATCACTCCATTTTCAGCATTTTGTGCAGTTGATCACCAGATGTCCATAGAGTAGAGCCAGCCCATAACCTTACAAAAGCATGGTGCAGGTGGCATTCGAGAAAGTGAGAATGATGGGTACCTTGTAGATTTTCTTGATGATGTTGCAGGAATTTACGCTGTCACTGCATCATAGAAGATCCTAGAGATGGTGGTGTAACTAAGTACTTTACAAATGATGCAGCAATGGTTTTGCAATTCCCATTTAAAGACTGGTATGGCAGAATTAAATGCTCAGCTGGAAAATGAAGTGTAATATATTGTAGAACTATAAAACGAAATGTAGTATAATACAATTAACAAAAATACTTTATCATCCCTACTTTGAAGGTGTCACTGGTTGGAATGGTGATCTTTTGTTTCGTTTTCTTTTGGTTTTCCTTCCTTTTTTGGGATAGGGAAGACTTACCAGCAGTATGATAAATTTTTGTTCAAATTTTGCAGATTTGGAGAAGAAAAAACTTTCAAGTTGCAGTCAGCTCCAGCAATTTCTTCAGCAACACAACGCAATTGCTCACTGCCTCCCATTGGTGTTTGGCTTGTCCCCCAATGTTGCCTGTCTCCCTCAACCAACTCTCGTGGTTTCATTGTTTTTCAACCTACTTCACATTGTATGAAATATCCTTTCGGCCAGTCCTGGTTCTGTCTCCTCCCAGCATCTTGAGCTCAGCTGGTCCCCCTCGCTGGGAAGACAGAAGGAGAAAGAGGAATGTCCTTGGATCTGTGCAGAACTGCTCAGCAGCAACTAAAATACTGGTGTTTGATCAATGCTTTTTTTTCTCCTAAAGCTGAAACTCAGCATCATACTGGACACTAGGAAGAAAAGTCAACTGTTCCAGCTGAAACCAGAACACTGACTTTTCAAAGGGGACAGAGAGTGGTTCAGCAATCAATTCTTACAAGTCCATCAGCATGTATGAGTGCAACCAGCCTGGTGGAGGCATCTGGGCTGGCAAGGCCACAGCTCAGCCCAGAGAGCTGCCCTGCCCTGCCCTGCCCTGCCCACACACGCCCGATGCGCTGCAGCACCTCGAGGTTTGCAGCATCCCCAGACCAGAACCAGCCATCAGACCTGACAGCACTGCCCACAAGCAGGAGGAAAGCACAAGCTCTTACACAGCTGGAAGCAGCCCTGAGGCTGACACACACCCAAGCCCAAATCCGGACTGCCCCTGCCAGTGCAGCTTGGGTTCTTGAGGAATTTGGACACTGCCCCCCACTGGGGATCTGGCCAAAACGGTGCCAGGTGAAGTGAAGTCTGGGAAGGAGACAACCCTGCTGTCAAGGTCCCTCTGCCCACCTCAGCAGAAGCAGGGAAGGATGACGCTGACAAATGTGGGTGGGGGAATTTCTGATCTTTATTGTGTTGGTGTAGCAATTTGACAGATTGATACAATGGGAAAGTGTTATAACAAAATGTTATAACAAAGGTGTGATAACAAAAAGACTGGCACAATAGAAAGGTGCTGTAAAGGAAGGCAAGAAGATTGCTTGCCTGTATCAGAAAATTGTAGGTTTGTAGGAAAAAGCTTCACCAAGGAGAAATCTCTGGAAAGAGAACCTTCCCCAGTGGCAGACAGCCCTTAAATGGGGTCTAAGAGAGGGGCAGACAGACTCCACCCCTTCTGGTTGCACAGCTGAACTACCTTCAGCTGTGCTTCTAGGGCTGACCAAGTCCTTTTCCTAGCTGGTCAATCAGTGGTTTGGGCTGTGATTCAGCAGTTCCCATACAGTTGGACTCAGGACCAGAGAAAAGCAGGTGGGACTGGTACATGGCTACTCCTGTGCAGGCTTGGGGGCTGGCTGCACAGACTTTGGCTCTGATGTTGGATCTAGGAGTAGCTTTATGCCTGAGGTGGTCTCTGGTGGTGGGACTGGCTCCTGCTGCTTACTCAGAGCCAGCTGTGGAAATTTTAATCTCTGCGCCTCGCTGGGTAACGGCTTTCTGTGAGAGCCTGCGCTCCATGCACAGATCGTCCCCTTTGTTCAGGCACTGGGGAAGCCCTCGAGGACCTCAGTGTTGCCAATCTTTCTGATCTGCGGATGCTGCTCTGATCACGAGGAGCTGGGGTTCCTCTGCTCCCATGGCGTCTTCTTGGCCGGCTCTGGGAACTCGAGGCCCGACCTTGCAGCGGGGAGCGGCTTCGTGTGCGGCTTGTTCTCCGCTGCCTGGGACGCCTCCTGCGTGCAGCCCCTGGGGACTCTCTGGAAGATTCTGATGTGCCCCGTCTGGTGGAGGTGCGGGAGCAACACTCAGCACTTTGGGCTGCTGTTTGTCTGCTCCTGTGGCATCCTTGGTGCTGCTCAACCATATTCTCTGGTAAACATGAGGGAATTGTCCTGTTTTCTGTCCCCAGCTCGCTACTCTGGCAGCTGAGCTCTGGCAGCTGGGAACTGTATGATGGCTCTGATGCTGCCTGGCTAGTGGGGCTGGAACAGCTGTCCTCATGTTCCTGGAGGCTGTGGGATGGCCCTTGCCCGTCCTGGTTGGCAGTGCTGGAGCTGGCAAGCTCTGAGTTGCTGCTGGAAGCTGTAAGGGGAGACGGGCAGGTCAGCAGGATGAACCCCTGAGTTAGGAGAAGCTGACATCCCTCTTGGGGCAGAGAGACTCTGGCAAAGCTGCCCTGAGCACTTGCTGCAAGGCCTTGCCTGGCCCCAGCGCGGAGCCATGTGGCTGATTGCCTCTTACCGGTACCCAGGCCAGCACATCTGTCACACTCCCATGTGGCTGTGGTGTTGTTCAGGTAGGAGCACTCTCGGTGGGTGCCCTCAGCAGCACAGGAGCTGCACAGGAGCAGCTGCCAGGGCCTGGGGAAGCAAGGGGGTTGTGGCTTTGAGGACCAAGTGAGTCAAGCCAGAGAGAGCCTGGCACAGCACATATCTGCTGCTCAGTCCTTGCTCTCCCAGCCTGTGCTGAGGCTGAGATCCTCCACAGAGCTAGAGAGAGCTGCTGTGGTAACTCACCCCTCTTCTTCTGCCAGCTCCCTGCCTTCAGGGTGACGGCACCTGATGGCATCACAGCGCCTGTGCCTCTGTAGAAATGATGCATATGCATCATTGTCCTCCTGTTCTGGTCTTCTACAAGAGAAGGAAGGGAAAGTGATGAGGCCCCAGCATTGCCAGCATCAGATCCAAGGTTATCCCCTCTCATCCACCCCAACCCCATTTCCAGCTTCTCCATGAAGCTGAGGCACGTGCTCCTGTGACGGCCAAAGGCCAGGACTGCCAAGACATTCCCTGGCAGGCCCAGCGCTCACGCCTTCTCATCTGTATGGTTTGGCAGAAGGACACCAACCTGTCTGGGATTTGGATCCCGAGGATGGACATTTCCAATAAGAACAGAAGACTGTTTCGACATCCGGGACACCGGAAGCATGCATTGCCAGTTAAGGCCTGTTGCTGCAGGAGAAGAACAAGCAGGGTGAGCGAAGTGGTGCTTGGTGCTGCTGAGCACCAAGCATGTCTGCAGGGTGAGGAGAGGACTCCTACCTGGATGCAGCCCCGGTGGAACCAAGTGTGTCTGCACGCTGGACAAACCAGGGTGTGGTAGGACAAACTGCCCCCCACAGGCCCAAGGCAGATGACGCAGGTGGTATCTTTTGCTGGAGCTGTCACTGCTATCTGTCGAGGGCGGTGCTCAAAGCAGTAGGATCTGGGGGAAGATGGAAGGGATGGGCACACTGAGAAGTGATGGGTGGAAGGCAGAGGACCGTGAAGAAGCTCCAGGCCCTGTCTCTGGCTCTGGCAGCCTGCTGGGAGCTGTCGCTGCAGGATCCTCCCTGGCTTGGCTGCTGCTGACAGCCCTTACCTGTGCTGCCCAAAGAACTGGGTGACGCACTGCCCGTCCTTGGCACACGGCAGGTGGAAGCTTCGTTCACAGCCGCTTTCAGCACAGGTGATGGCAGCGCCCCTCTCTCCACAAACACAGCATTGCTGGAAAGAGCAGAACAGCCCCATCAGCAGCAGGCTCAGGGCCTCTGCAGCCAGCCCCAGACTTCTGGGCAGGGCACAGGGTGTGGGAATTGCTTGGTCACACTCTACAAAGCTGCCTGGCGGACAGGGCGCATCTCCAATTGCAGGACTTTGTCCTGGAGGCAGGTTGGAAAAGTTCCAATTGCTTTCTTGGTGTCCAGGCTAAGCTGATGTGAGCCCCTCAGGGGACAAATCTGCCTGCTCCATTCAGATCCTCACCTTCTGGTTTGCCTGCTTGGCTTTGAGTGTGATGTCATCAAGGGGGATGCCCACAGTTCCATCTCTTGAGAGTGTTTCTGCATAGAAGATGTTGGCAAAAATCTGTAGGAGAGAAAAGAGCAGGTTCTCATTAGGACAGGAAGGGGAGCATCTCTGGCAGTAATTTGGAAGGAGCCCTTGAGGGAACTCACCAAGCAGAACTCATGGACACGAATCCAACCCTGGCCAAATGTGCGCCCAAAGATGTTTGGGTCATCTTCTGCCCGGCCACAAAGCATGCAGGCTGAAAAGAAGAGAACAAATGTGAGCAGCAGTGAGCACCTTAGAGCCAAGTATCCCTAAGGGCCGTCCCCTGGGTCCTGCTCTCTGCCTGCCATGCTGGCTGAGGGGCAGAGCTGGTGGTGGTGGTGGAAAAGTTCCCAATGAAGGCTCAGTAGTGCCAGCAAGCAGCACAGCCCAAGCTGGGCCCCTTGCCAAGCAGTGGAAGGACTCTGCTGAATGGTGGGTGGGAGCTCCTGCCTGCTCCTTCCTTGCCCCTCATCCACAGGCACATCCCCCAGCTCTCCTCTGCCTGTTGGCAGGATCTGTGCTCAGGGATGCTGTGCTCTCACCTGGCTCCTCCGAGCCGGAGGCCTTCCTCTTCCTATCGGACATGATTGTGCGTTGATAGCGAGCACTGTGAGATAGCGAGCACTGCGAGAGTCCTTGCTCTCTCTGCGCCTCACCAGACCGCACTGATGCTCTGCCTGAGCCCGGCAGCCTTTGCTCTGCTCCAAGCTTCACGTGTCACAATGGCTGCTCTGTGACACCTACTGTGACATCACGGTCACCGCCTCATGGGCGCCTGTGGGCGTGGGCCCTTGGCTTCCATGCAAGATAGTGGCAGCTTCACAGCTCCTAGGTCTCTCATGCTTTCTCAAACAAGAAATGCTGCTGGTCCCTCATCATCTCCGCCAGACTCTTTGTAGAACATCCCTGCCTGTTTTGAACAGGGGAGGCAGGAATTGAATACGATATATTCCAGGCATGGCCTCACCAGGCCAGAGAAGAGGAAGAGGATCACCTCCCTCACCCTAACTTCTTGCAGTAGTTAGATCAGGGGACTAAACACACTGAAACCTACTTCTGACAATGATCTGCTCATGGGTTACTCACCCATTCCTATCATAACAGCTTCCAACAGAATTTTGTCCATCCTCCTAAAACGTGTCCCACATGTCCTGTTTTGCCTTGCCCAAGTCTTCAGACATTTGACTTTGCTATGCCAGAAGGTGTCCAGAACTTACTTGCTTCTTGCAAGTAAGTAATCCAAGACTCTCTGATGTGAAAAGCATTGAAGGCTTATTGTCTGCCCTCACAGAGTTGTTGCATTTCCTCAGCATGCAACAGCCCTTTCTGTTCTCTCAGATATTCACATAAAATGGTAATTTGTGCTACAGCTGCTGAAATGTAAGTCTGGCTTTGAAGGAGTAGGTGTCAAACACTTTCCATCTTACAAGCAATGCGTGTGACTTGAGAAATCTTGCTGTCAATCTCTTTGAGTTTTATCCACATGTTCAGGACCTGTTTGTCTTAGTGAACACAACAGCAGTGAGAAGAAACATTGATGCTAATCTTACTTTTGCTCTTCTGAAAGTCCTGTTATTCCTATCAAGATGTCCCCACAGCAAATCTTTGCTGGGACACCGTTCCAGGGAGCAGGTTGCCCCAGCCACAACCCTGCGCATGGGAACACAAAGCAGCCACAGACCATGGTTTTCAGGCAGGCAATAAGAAAAGAGTTAAGAAGACACTGAACAACCTTTGTTGATGTGAGATTCTCACCAGAGTAAAGAGGAATGGAAGAAAGTACAGTATAACATATACTTTCTTTTTTTTTTTTTTTTCCAAGGGAAAACAAGAAGTGCATAGTAGCTTTGGGTTATGAACATCTTGATTTCTTAATGCAGTCTCAGCAACTGGCTGCAGTCACTACAAGCTAAGTAAATTTTGGAACCTTTGGAAAACTACTGTTGCCCTTTCTGTAAGAAGCCATTTGTCTTAAGTGTTTTTAGTTCAGCGAGTCCAGAAGTCTCTGCTATGTGATGACAGGAAAAACCATAGTTGTATGTATATTCTTCAGTATATTTATGCCTTCAATACTTATGAAGATGACATTCCTTTGCTGCAATGGAGGTAAGAAGGGGCTAGAACATCTATGAACATCTTAAATCCACCAAAACTTGAGATATAAATCAGCATGCTGTAGAATGAAAACAAAATCCAGAGGCTTTTTCCCTTGTTTGACTTCACTCTTTTCCCATGCTTCCATGCCAGTCCCACGTGCACTGCTCTCCCTGTGTTGGGAAAGAGCATTGAATATAGAAAGCAGTTTGGAATCAAGGATCATGAAGCAAACGACATGGTAGACACCTGAAAACTCTGATGATGCAGGTTTGGCTCTCTCTTCTACATGCTACACTCATCTGACTTCAGGAACTTTGGTTCACTTTGGGCTGAGCACCTGTCAGCAGCTGGGATAACTGACTGCAAACCAACCAAAAATGGAATGCCTGGGCTGTGCTCAGCAGCAGCTCTGATGTTGGGATTTGGGAAAGGATTAATGTAATCTGCACTATTAAAGAACAGCAGGGAAGGAACACAAACATGCCTGTTACGTAGCCAAGCTTTATTTTACAATAGCTCTTTTCTGTAACTTTGCTATATTTTGAAAAAATACACATTGTTGTCTCTGCAGTGAAGTATGCCAAGTGGGCATCCCTGGTGGGGAAGGAGCCACCCTGCCTGTGTTACCTGGGAGACCAGAAAGACAGTAGAATGTACAATTGCAAGGGTCCTCTGTCAAAGCAAGCAAAACAAATCAACAAAAATATTTGACCTGGAATATAAAATTCCAGTGCTCCCAACTCATGCAAGTATTAAAGGAAAAGAGAGGAGGTTCAGGCTGAGAAGGAGCGATGAGGAAAGATTTGATTAGGAAAGTTGCAATGGGGGCATAATGGAGGAATGAGAACATTACAATGCACCAGAGGGTCTTGAGTTGAACACTGGGAATTGACTATCAAAATACAGACAGATGAAATTATAAAATGATGAAACCTGAGCACTGAATAATATTCTGCTGGGGATTGTTTTACTGTGCTGCAAATAGCAAATTTCAGCTTGTCTCTGCTTGAAAATCCTTTATGCAAAGAAGACCTTTGGCAACTTATACCTGAATTTGGCATTACAAAGTAACTTTAATCCTCAGAGCACTTTCTAGACAAACCTCACTCCCCATCGAACAGGAAGGAGGAAGGGACAAATTTTGTAATTTGTCTCCGAGGACTGAGTTATAATGGAAATATTTATGCAGCAATCAGAGAGCAGCTGTACACCATGCAGATAAACCTGTGAGAACTTTGAATAGCTAAATAGCTGTCTTGGGGACAGAGATCAGGGCAGCAGCCACTAGATGAGCACTCATTTCTTGCTCCAAACCCTGCCTGAGGCACAGGTTATGCAGGAGCTGGGCATTCTTTTTTTGCTGTTGTTGTAGGTCTTCACCCAGATGACTCCAAGAATCAGCTGATGGAAAACAGTGGGGTCCTTAGCTGGAAACATTGGTGTGTGGGTGCACTCTGGAGGACAAATTAGCCCATAGGGATCCCTGGAGCTATAGTGACTGGCCAGCAAAGTGAAAGCCTACGGAGAAGAGATTTTTCCCCCAAAAAAGAGCCTCAATCAAGAAGGATGGATAATTGCCTGGCTAATTTTACAAGGAAGAAGAAATACTGCAATCTGTGGGATAAAACCTTAACTAGATTCTGGAAGTGGTCCATGGATCACTCCTATGCTGTTGAGGGAAGGAGGCAGAAGCCCACCAGGGCTAATCCTTGACAGTTTTAGGCATGTGGCTCAGCTTTCCTCCCAGAGAGTGGCCAAGTACAAACGGAGATGAGAAGGGGACTGCCTGGGAAGGAAGCAATACTGCAGAGTAAGATTTTGTAGGATGGATTGAGTCACTTGGGAGAATCCCCTGATGTTGATGGAGTGGCCAAGGTCCTCTTTCACCTTCCTACTCCTTTCAAGGATGTTTTCCAACAATAAAAAAAAAAAAAACATTTCCTCACTGAATCAGCATTTAGACTGCTAAAACAGTTGAACAGAATGATAAAGTTCCTTAGAGCATTTTGCCTGGTTTGTTTTGTTTTGTTTTTTTCACAGCATGTGATTTCCAAAATGAAGGGTAGCCAGAAGATGGAATCTAAGATTATAAATAAATATTAGATCCTAAGAGGCTGTAAACAACTCAACCATCTGTAAATCCTACATTCTATGGGACAGGTCCTGCTGAAGGGGGATGAAAACTGAGTACAGACGCTGCTCTTTTCTGCTGTAGTAGTATTTTCCTGCTGAGAATAATGAATGGGCAGAGCCAAATTGCTGCCAGATGATCCCAATCAGCTGTTGTTTATATCAAGACCTGGAAGGCAGGTCAGTCAAGCTGCCCTGACCCTAATATTTTCTGTTGAAAAATAATCAATTTACAAGGCTGGGATGAGTGACCTGTTAGCCCTGTTTGTTGATCCAAAACATAATGGCTCAATGGCTTTAATTATTAAAGCCAGGAAGATACAACCATTGATCATCCCATTTAGTGCCATCTCTCTGGCTTAGATTTCAGAATTTTTATCAAGGACACTTGGAAGGAAAGAGAGAGAAATAAAACACCTTGAATGCCTGATCCACCGGCATCACCTCAATTTTGGACCCTGATATTGATGGTGCATCTCCTTCAGCCTGCATTACATCTTCTCAGAGCAATCAAGGGATGGCACTTCCCTGAGAACGCAAGTCCTGACTTTTGGCTAATAAGACATTGAAAAGACCATTTATGAGTTGACCCAGATCATCTTTTCTCTCCAACAGTTCAAAAAGCAGTTGGTAGAAAGGACATTAATTGAGTTGGCACTAGGAGGTAATTGAAGATTGTAATTACTCAGTTTTTATAAAGCTGGAAATGAAATAAGGATTTTAAGAAAGTAATAACTGAAGCTTTCTGCAGAGAGATCCCCTGGTGCATACACTTTAGCTAAGGGCCTAGGTTTTTAGAAATACATTTTCTTGTAGTTTTTACATCACTGTCTTGCTGGGACATCTCTCCTGAGCCTTTCTAGCTGTAATGGGCTTTGCTAAATCTGAATATACTTTCTCTCTGCATTCTGACTTACTGTGTTGCACTGACACATTCAATATAGCAATAATTCAGAGAACAGAAAACATCCCCATTTCTCTACCTTCTCTGCGCTCCTGGCTTCCCTTTTCAAAGCTGGCAGATTTCTGTCAGTCTCCCAATTTTTCTTTCTCCTTTGGATGTCATGAGAGAAAAGGATCTGAGTCAATATCTCAGAGGCATATGCACCTCACCTGGTAGCTCCTAGGCTTTGTGGACAAAAGTTGATGCAGATTTTCCCAGCAGGCTCAGAGCACATTTTATCTTGCTGTGTGTTTAGTTGCTTAAATCACAAGACTGCAACTGAAAGATGAACACCAGTGAAATGGCAGATTCAGCTTCATTTAAACCTGGTGAAATTTGGCAGAAGTTTCCCTCTCTGTTAACTTCTATCTAAATTATCTACTCCGTTCTTGGGAACTGGACTTCACACTACTGCTTGTGCCATCCCAGAATTTGGACTGAGAACTTGTTCCTCTATTTCAGTGTTAAAAGAACAAAGCAATCTGGCTCCCTTCACAGCAAGGCAGCCTGTTACTTTTTTTAGGACAGGATCTCCACTTCCACTGCAAAAGACAGGTCAGATAGACAGATGGACCTCAAGAGGAGCATTGCTCTTTGTAGTTCCTTCTCACCTAGCATACACTGTGCTTTGAACTCCCATTTCCTGCTATGCAATGGCCTTCCTTCTCCTCTTTATGTGTCGTAAACTGAATATTTACTCTTTTCTTACCTTCCCTCTCTGCAGAACCATATACAAGTTGAGTATCACACCATATAAATACGTTTAAGTAGTCCAGAGCTGTCTCTTGGCAGAGACCGTAAATTCTTTAAGGTGAGCAGCAAACATGTTCTGAATTTGTACCGTGCTTTGCACAACAATGCTGGCAGAATCAGGTATGGCTGTACCGAGAAGGAACATTGATCTTGGATGAATAGTCTGCAGCTCGTGTGTATATAGTGAGATGAAGAATCACGGATTCATAGAATCACTCAGGTTGGAAAAGACCTTAAAGATCATCGAGTCCAACCACAACATAACCAAACTACCCTAACAACCCTCCGTTAAATCATGTCCGTGAGCACCACATCCAAGTGGTTTTTAAACACATTCAGGGATGATGACTCAACCTAAACTTACCCTGGCGCGACTTAAGGCCATTTCCCCTCATCCTGTCACCTGTCACCAGTGAGAAGAGACCAACCCCGCTCTCGCTGTAAGCACCTTTCAAATATTGGAAGAGAGCAATAAGGTCTCCCTTATGGTCTGGTCCATGTGCTCAAACTCATCATTTGTAATATCCTTGTTTTTTGCTCAGTTGCTGTGAATGTTTTGTGGAAGAGCAGATGTCTGCACAAGTGACAACCACAACATCCACCTTTCGTGACAACCACAACATCCACCCTTATAGTGTGTGAACTGTTGCTCTCACAGTTTTCCCATATATCTCAGCTTGCTCAGCTCTGAGGGATATGAATTGTATCAGGCTCCTAGGATTGTTGTGGAGGCCGTTGGTGCCTGGTTGGAAAATAGAAAAGCACTTGGCAAACACTGAGCAGTGCTCCCTTGCCTGAGTCCCGAGGATGCAATAGAAGATATTCCTTCACTCATCACTCATGCCTTCACTCATCTCTGTACACATAGAAAGGATCCTATTCCTCCTTCACATGGTGGCATAATAAGTTTTTCTACATTTGATATTGTGTCAATTTTTACAAATGTTTTAATACATATTCAAGCTACAACTGCATTCAAACGTCTCTGGGCGGGGAGGACACATTCGTACTGGGAGGTGTGAAGAGAAAGTCGAAGCCTGACAACCACATTTGAGCTATGTCTTGTGCTGGCTCTCACTCAAGTGCAAACAGCTCATTAGGAGCAGGGTGCTTCTGTCCTGCAGGATGTAGAAGCTTGCTGGCTCAAAGCTTCATTTCAAGACAGGGGTCTCCTCAGTGCCTTCTGCTTAACTAGGACCGTTCCCTCCAGAGAAAAAAAAAACACTTTCTTGTCCTTTGCTGGGATGTGTCCATCTGGACTGCTTCTTAAATGGCTCTGTTTCCATTCTTTCCCTGCCACACAACCAAATAAAGATTTCTGGAGCTTTGGGAAGAGAAAATTGTATTTAAATTAATTGCTTGTGGTTCTAGATGTAGAACTTCTCTGCATTTTCTTCATCATGTAATTCATCTCTGCATTCACTTATTCGTCCCATTCGTTTTGATGAAAATTTGGTGGGGGTTTCTAAGACCTACTGACTCATCCTGATACATGCTGGCAATGTATTCGGGTCAATTAGACATCTGCCGGTTTCATATTCATAGGCCATGACATATGTTTGCTCAACAGGGTATGGCAACAAGGAGAAACTGAATTTGCATCCTGAACAAGGTGGCACAACGGTGTATCGATATCGTTTTTTAATGAGATTTGCTGGCTTTTGCAGACTTGAGATAGTGTAAATTTATGCTAAAATGTCAACAAATGCCAGTCAAATAAAGTTCTGTATCATGCCTGAATGCAAAAGACGCAGAGAGTTCTGGTGAATCATTTTTGTCAACATGTTAACTCCAGGAATCACATCGATTTACATTTAGTTATACTTGCCTAAGCCAAAAGCTCCGTTCTGTGAGTACTTTCTGCCTGTTCAGAGGCAGTTGTTTTAGCTTTAGGAGACCAATTTCTCTCATATATATCATATTAATAGAATCATAGAATGGTTTAGTTTGGAAGGGCCTTTACAATCATCTAGTTCCAATATCCCACCCACGTTTTTTGAAACTGTGAGCTTAAAGTGGATGACCTAAAATCTACAAGACATCAACATAGATCTGACAGTGTGCAGAATACACCATTGTTTTTGTAATAGGAGTGCATTTGGGAAAGGTGAAGGTATCGGTGCTGTTTGGTGAGAGGCAGATAAGCATAACGTAATTCCAACTGACCTTTCTCTGCAAAGCTAATTAGGTTTAGCATTGTCCCTGTTGAAATGATGCAGCTCTTCTTGCACTGCTTTCCAGTTTACCAAAGGTCTATTTTATCGTCTTTGTATTTGTGCTGATGTCCTCTAAGAGAGGTGCATACCCAGCCCTGGGCAACTGGCAGCCTAAATAGAAAGCACTGACTCCAGGCACAGCAGGAGCACAGAACGCCATGATGACTTTCCCCAAGTTGGGCCACAGAGTGGTGGCAGACTCACAAAGAGTCCAGATGTCCCAGATGGAGATGATTTAACAGGGACTCTGCCTTTTACTTACATGTACAATGTATGATGGCTGCTCCGAAAGCAATGCTTCCCATTTTATTATGCTGGACCACGATGTCTGAAGCAGATGTTGGTATGGCAGTCAAGGTTGAACCTTCCCACCACTATTTCACCACATTCTGTCACCATGTGATAGATGGCAGAAGAGGAGCAGTCTAACAAAACAGCATCTGACACGGAAATGTGCATGAAAAAAATAACGTAATGAAATCAATGTGAAAAAAAATGGAACTCAATGACATTCATTAATGCTTGTTGAACTATTCTGGACACCAAACAGTGTCTCCACAGCTGTGAGCAGAGTTAAGTGGTACATGGTGCCTTTCAGTAGTGGCAAAAGTGTGTGCTGATGCAGATTTTCATAAGCATGGCATACAGGCTCTTGTTCATTGCTAGAGAGGTTGCATATGCTAATGGTGGTGGCCATTATAAAACACAGTAGCCAAGAATTTGCTCTATAAAATACTGTTCTTGAGCTCTCTGTCTCTTGCACTTACAATTGAAATAAATACGAGGGATTACACTCAGAGTGACCTACATATGCACAAGTTTTGTAGCAGTGTGTATTAAAAATAAAGGAAGACAGGGAGTATAAATCTAGCTCCCTCAAAATAAAAAAACATCAGTCGTTAATACACAAGAATGTTAGAGAACACGGTCTATATGATACGAAAATTTCTATTATTTGCTCCAAGAAGTAGTTGTTCAAGAGTTTAGCTGAGTAACTATTCTTTACCAGTTGTTCCAAATGGAGAAAATTGTATATATTTTAGATAATTAGCTAATTTGACTAAATAATTAAGCGTTAATACTAAAGTTGTAAGTTAAATATCACAAAAAAAATAGCCTGGGAAGAATATACGGAGATTGCCTGCATGTTCAGAGATAAGATCAAAAAACACAAGACAAAGATGGAGTTGAAATTGGCAAGGGGCGAGAAAAATAGCAAGAAGGGGTTATGCAGGTACATAGGCAGGAGGAAACAGAGCAAGGAGAATGTAACCTCTCTAATAAACGAGAACAGAGACCTGGCTTCCTCAGAGATGGAAAAGCTGAGGTGCAAAGTCAGCCAGTCTGAAGATGACACCAAGCTGAGCTCGTGGTAGTGATGGTGATGAGAGCACGGTTGGACTAGATGGAGGAGCAGCTGAGGGAGCTGGGATTGTTTAGTCTGGAGAAGAGGAGGCTCAGGGCAGACCTCATTGCACCGTACAACCTCCTGAAGGGAGGCTGTGAAGAGGAATTTGGCCTCTTCTCCCAGGCAACAAACAGGACCCAAGGAAATGGCCACAAGTTGTACCGGAGGAGGCTAAGATCAGACATGAAGAAAAACTTTTTCCTCCCGACAGTGGTCAGGCACTGGAATGGCTGCCCACGGAGGTGGTGGAGTCGCCGTCCCTGGCAGTGTTCAGGAGGCGTCCGGATGAGGAGCTACGAGATATGGTTTAGTGGTTTGTGGTACGAATGGTGACGGGAGGACGGTTGGACTAGATGGGCCTGTATGTCCTTTCCAACCTTGTGATTCTACAATTCTATGATTCTATGAAAGGTTGCCCCCAGAAACCTTTGGTGGAGCTGCCACCCTCCTGCTTGGAAGCCAAGGGCCCACGCCCATGAGGCGGTGACTGTGATGTCACAGTGGGTGTCACAGGGAGGCCATTGTGACGCGTGAAGCTTGGAGCAGAGCAAAGGCTGCCGGGCTCAGGCGGAGTCACTGCGGCCTGGTGAGGTGTGGAGAGAGGAGGGACTCTCGCAGTGCTCACCGTCGACGCAAATCATGTGTGCTAGGAAGCGGAATTTCTCTGACTCACAAGAGTCAGGTGAGAGTGCAGCATCCCTGAGCCCCGCTCCCGACACTGGGCAGAGGGGTGCTGGGGCTGTGCCTGCTGCTGAGAGCTGAGAGGGGAGGAAGGGGCAGGCAGGAGCTCCCAGACAGGCCTGGGGCAGGGCCCCTCTGCTCCTTGGCAAGGGGACCCATCTTGGGCTGTGGCTGCCTTGCCTTGGACCTGCTGTGGCCCCTTCCCTCCACCGCCTCCAGCCAGCACGGCAGGCACAGAGCAGGACCCTGGGGACGGCCCTCAGGGACACCTGGCCCCGCCAGCTGCTCACCGCTGCTCACATTTGCTCTCTCCTCTGCAGTGTGCATGCTGTGTGGCTGGGTCGATTTCGACCTGGACACCTACGGGCGCTTATTTGACCAGATTTGGTTTTGGGTCCATGAGTTCTGCTTGGTGAGTTCCCTCAAGTGATCCTGACTGCTTCCTGCCGGGACGCTCCCCTTCTTCCTGTCCTCATGAGATCCCGCTCTTTTCTCTCCTACAGATTTTTGCCAACATCTCTTTTGACGAAATACCAAGAGACCAGGGAACTGTGCACATTGATTGTGCTGCCCTCACACGCAAGGTCAAGCAGGCAAAACAGAAGGTGAGGACCTGAACGGAGCAGGCAGATTTGTGCCCCGAGGGGCTCACACCAGCTTAGCATGGACGCAAAGAAAGCAATTGCAGCCTTTCCAACCGCCTCCAGGACAAAGTCCTGCAATTGGAGATGCGCCCTGTCTGCCAGGCAGCTTTGTAGAGTGTGACCAAGCAATTCCCACACCCTGTGCCCTGCCCAGAAGTCTGGGGCTGGCTGCAGAGGCCCTGAGCCTGCTGCTGATGGGGCTGTTCTGCTCTTTCCAGCAATGCTGTGTTTGTGGAGAGAGGGGTGCTGCCATCACCTGTGCTGAAAGCGGCTGTGAACGAAGCTTCCACCTGCCGTGTGCCAAGGACGGGCAGTGCGTCACCCAGTTCTTTGGGCAGCACAGGTAAGGGCTGTCAGCAGCAGCCAAGCCAGGGAGGATCCTGCAGCGACAGCTCCCAGCAGGCTGCCAGAGCCAGAGCCAGGGCCTGGAGCTTCTTCATGGTCCTCTGCCTTCCACCCATCACTTCTCAGCGTGCCCATCCCTTCCATCTTCCCCCAGGTCCTACTGCTTTGAGCACCGCCCTCGACAGACAGCAGTGACAGCTTCAGCAACCGGCACCCGCTGCGCCATCTGCCAGGCGACGGTGGGGAACACTGCATCCTACCACACCCTGGTGTGCTCGGTTTGCAAACATGCCTGGTTCCACCGGGGCTGCATCCAGGTAGGAGTCCTCCCCTCACCCTGCAGGCACGCTTAGTGCTAAGCAGCACCAGGCACTGCTCACGCTCACTCTGCTTGTTCTTCTCCTGCAGCAACAGGCCTTGAATGATGGCAAGGCGTGTTTCTGCTGTCCTGTCTGCCAAGACAATGCTCTTTTCCAAATAGAGATGTCCATCCTCGGGATCCAAATCCCAGACAGGTTGGTGTCCTTCTGCCTGGTTCTGCTGACATTAAGGCTGCAGTGCCAGGCTGTCTCGGCAGTCCTGGCCCTTGGCTGTCACATGAGATGTGTCTCAGCTTCATGGAGAAGCTGAAAGTGGAGATGGAGTGGATGAGATGGGATAACCTTGGATCTGATGCTGGCAATGCTGGGGCCTCATCACTTTCCCTCCCTTCTTTTATAGAACACCAGCACGGGAGGACAAGCGTGCATTCACATCACTTCTGCAGAGGCCCAGGCTCTGTGATGCCATCGTGTGCTTTTACCCCGGAGGCAGAGAGCTGGCAGAAGAAGAGGGGTAAGTTACCACAGCAGCTCTCTGTGGATCCGTGGGGGATGTCACGGAGCCTCAGCACAGGCTGGGGGAGCAAGGACTGAGCAGCAGAGATGTGCCGGGGACTCCCTGGCTAGGGACCCTTGCTTCCCACAACCCCCTTGCTTCCCCAGGCCCTGGCAGCTGATCCTGTGCAGCTCCTGTGGAGCGGAGAGCACCCACCGGCAGTGCTCCTACTCAAGCATCAGGATGAACATGTGGGACTGTGACAGATGTGCTGGCCTGGGTACCTGTAAGAGGCTATGAGTCGCGAGGCACGGGGCTGGGGCCAGGCAAGGCCTGGCAGCAAGTGCTCCGGGCAGCTTTGCCAGAGTCTCTCTGCTCCAGGAGGGATGGCAGCCTGTCCCTACCCGGAGCTACAGGTTCCTCCTGCTGACCTTCTGTCTCCCCTTACAGCCTCCGCCGCCATCTCGGAGCTCGCGGCACTCAGCACTGCCAGCCAGCAGAGCAGCCTGGAGCCATCCCACAGCCCCCAGGAACACGGGCACAACTGCTCCAGCCCCGACAGCCAGGCAGCATCCGGGCCATCACACAGGTCCCAGCTGCCGCAGCTCAGCTGCCAGACCAGTGAGCTGGGGACAACCTGCTCACATGTTCCTGACCATCAGGATACAGTGGAGCAGCACCAAGCACAGCATGGGAGCAGCCATACACCCACCCCAGCCACTGAAAGCAGCTCCTGCATCTCCACCAGATGGGGCAGATTGGGATCCTCCAGAGCAGCCACAGCAGCCGCACGCAGGAGGCGTCCCAGGCAGCGGAGAACAAACCGCACACAAAGCCGCTCCCTGCTGCAAGGTCAGGCCCCAGGATCCCAGAGCCGGACCAGAAGACCTCGAGGCAGCAGGCGAACACCATCTCCAGCTGCTCAGAACAGAACCCGCAGCACCACCAGAGCGGCAAGGCGGAGGTCCTCGAGGGCTCCCCTGCATTCACACCCTGAGGAGTGGCCCGGGCAGACAGGGGAGGCCCGCATGCGAAGCTGTTCCTCAGTGGCACAACGAGCCACAGATGTCCACACCCGGCACAGAAGAGGCGGCAGGAGAAAGCCACAACCACAGAGGCTATCCCGGCCATGAAGTGACTCCCGGGTCTAATATCGAAGCCAACATCCGCCCCCCATAAGCCCAAAAGAAGATGCCGTGTTCCAACAGTGCGGTCTATCCAGGCATGTTGTCACTCCTGGGTGCAACATCGATCCAACATCTGCTGACCCCCCGCACAATCAGCCCAAAAAAGGTGACATGGAAGCAGTTCCAACTGGCGGGGCATCCCAGTCACAGAGGCACTCCTGAGTCTAAGATCGGAGCCAACATCCGCACCCCGGCACAATTCGCCTGAAGGCAGACGCATGGAAACAGCCGTGGGCCAGTACCATGTGCTGGCTCTAGCCCCAAGTGTCCAACACAATAAACCCAACCATCCCCCACCCATTTCTTTGTCAGCTTCTTTTTCTCCGCTTGTCCTGATGTGGGCAGACTAAGGAGCTGGGAACACAGGGTTTCCTCCTCCTCAACACCTTCCTTGATGAGGCCTTCTTGCTTCAGCTGCAGCAAGTGTCACGCTTGCAGGCTCTTGTCCTGATGGGGGATTTCAACCACCCGCATGTATGGCCGCTGGGATAGCGGCACGGCGGGTGGCAGACAATCCAGGGCATTCCTGGGGCCTGTTGAGGATAACTTCCTGGTCCAGGCATGAGATGGAGCGAGCCGAGGTGAAGCCTTGCAAGAGCCGCTCTCCATCAGATTTGAGAAACCATGGCAGTTGGGTGAAATCCCCGGTGACTGGCAAAAAGGAAACATGACTCCAAGTTTAAGAAGGGCAGAAAGGATGAGCCAGGGACCTAGAGGCTGGTGAGCCTCACCTCTGTGCCTGGGATGATCATGGAGCAGATCCTCCTGCTCACCATGTGAAGGCACACAGGAGACCAAGAGGTGACCCGAGACAGCCAGCGTGGCTTCACCAAAGGCGGATCTTGCCTGACCAATCAATCTGGTGGCTCTTTGTGATGGAGGGTGGCAGCGGTGGACGGGGAAAAGGCGAGGGATGTCATCTCCCCGGCCTTCTGCAAAGCCTTTGACACGGTCCCTCACCTCATCCTTCTCTGTAAATGGGAATGGTATGGATTTGAAGGAGGCAGTGCTCGATGGATTAAGAAGTGGTTGGCTGATGGCAGCCAAAGGCTTGTGATCAACGGTTCTCTGTCTGGGTGGAGGCCGGTCACGAGAGGTGTCCCCTAGGGATCAGGGGGCTTGGGATGGGTGCTGCCATTGTCTGCATGTGTAGAGATGAGATCAGGAAAGCGAAGCCACAGAAGGATCTGAACTTGGAAGGGATGTGAAAAATAGCAAGGGTTTCTACAGGTACATGGGCAGGTAGAGACTGACCAAGGAAAGTGTTCCACCTCTGATAAAAGAAAACAGAGAACTTGGGTCCTGTGCTCTTCAACACCTTGATAAAGGATATAGACAATGGAGTTGGGCGCACTCTCAGCAAGTTTGCAGACAACACCAAGCTCAATGGTGCTGTCGATCCATTCGAGGTAAGGGAAACCATCCAGAGGTACCTGGACAGGCTGGAGAAGTGGGCCTATTGGAACCTAAGGCGTTGCTCTGTGGCTTGGGCAATCCCAGATATTTACACAGACTAGAGGAAGAACCCCTTGAGAGCAAGCCTGCAGAGAAGAACTTACATGTCCTGGTGTTCAAGAAGGTGTTCATGAGGCAGCAGTGTGGCTAGCAGCCCAACAAGCCAGCTGTATCCTGGGTAGTATTAAACAAAGAGTGGCCTGCAGGGAGAGCTAGGGGACTGTCCCCCTTTACTCACCTCCTGTGAGACTCCATTTGAAGTATTGCATCCAGGCCTGGGGCTCCCAGTACATGAAGGACGTGGAGCTCTTGACGCAGGTGCAGAGGAGGGCCACTAAGACCAGAGGGCTGGAGCACCTCTGCTATGAGGAAAGGTTGAGGGAACCGGCTTTGTTGCTTGGGGAAGAGAAGGATTCAGGAGACCTCATTGTGGCCTTCCAGTACTTGTACTGAGCGTAGAAACAGAAGGGAGCCCCTCTTCAACTTTTTAACAACTTGAAGCTGCAAGACGGCTGGTTGAAATTCAAATCTTTAAGAGCTGTTTTCACTGGGAACTGTGGAAAATGTTAGGTGCGTATGAAATACAAAAAGCAACACATTCACATCCTCTCACTCATTCACATTCTTAATTAGTTTTGTTTTGTTTTTTTTTTTTATTTTTATTTTTCTCCCAGATCTTCTAAGGAGTTCTTAGAGCCTCAGCATAAGCTGCTCATTTTGACCCTGGTGCATAAGTTCACCATATCTTTCTGACCCCTTTTACAACTGCTTACAGGGGTGGATAATGATAGGAGACAAAGGGGAATGGTTTTAAACTAAAACAGGAGAGGTTTAGATTAGATATTAGGGGGAAGTTTTTTCACTCAGAGGGTGGTGAGGCACTGGAACAGGTTGCCCAAGGAGGTTGTGGATGCTCCATCCCTGGAGGTATTCAAGGCCAGGCTGGATGTGGCTCTGGGCAGCCTGGTCTGGTGGCTGACAATCCTGCCCATGGCAGGAGGGTTGAAACTAGATGATTTTTGAGACACTTTTCAACCCAGGCCATTCTCTGATTCCATGAAATGTACTCATTAAAGAGAAAAATCTGCATTTTCTCCCATTTTTCCTGTGTTTTTTACTCTTAGCAAGATGCACTGGTGAAATCAGGACTTCAGGGAAATTCATGTGATTAAATAAATGAGGTTATATTGCTGGACAAAAAGGGATGTATCAGAATGTGAAAAACCTTTTACAGAAATATAGCAGTCTCATCTGACCTGTTTAGCAATGACTCCAGGCTCCTGCTCAATTGTTCCTCCTGAATTTTTCCCATCTCTATGTGCCACACTTCTCATCCAGAGGGCTTTTCAGGAAAGAATCTTTTCAGGCTGTGCTACAAGGCCCCTTTTCTCACACATCCTTCTTCTCTAATGTCCTGGCTCACTTTTTCCCATCTCTATGTGCCACAGAATCCATTGTGCAAATAGGGTAAGTCAACAAGGTGTATATGCAAAGCTGTATCATTTGAGACTTGCTACTTAGGGATACTGCAGTAAGAAAAAGGATGGAGAGCTAGAGTTCTGGGATATAAGAAAACAGGAACACTCCTTGAGGAGCAACAGAACAGGATGATGTTAATTACCTTCATTTTGATCTCATAATTCTTTGCAAGAAGTCGTGGTCATGGTATAAGGAAATGAGCAAATCTTTAAAAACCCTTTGTGTCAGTGTGACTAAGGACACAGGGATGTAGCCATCTGCTCAGCCAAAGACTATGCTTCATTACTTCAGATACTGGGGTCAGTGAGATGATCTCCAGAGGTTTGTTTCAGTGTCAGCTGTCCTGTGATTCTCTAATTTCTTCTATTTCATTGGAGTCTGATTGTAAAATAGATACAATAATGAAAGGAATTGCAATGCGAAGATAGTTTACTCATGGAGATACTCAGGCATACCAGCCACAGAGATTGCAAAATGTCCTATCTGTACACAAGTTCTGCACCAAAACCTGCAATTGGATGGTTGTTGGTGCGAAGATGCATTTTTTCCAAGGGACTAAGGCACTCCTGAAGGTACCTCAGGTGAGAAAACACACAGACAGATTGGGGATCTCAAGAGGAGACATAAACATGGAGGGCTGCAAGGAGAGAGAGGCTCTTCAACGTTTTCAGTTTCAGCACTAATGAAGAGCAGTGAGCGTGCTTACACTGAAGTTGCTTATTAGGAAAAAATTCTTTCCAGAAAGAGTGGTTGGACATTGGAGCAGCCTGCTCAGGGAGGTGGTGAATTCACTTTCCTTCGTGGTGTTCAAGAAGAGGATAGATGTGGCACTGAGAGACATGGTTTGGTGGGCATGGTGGGGATGGGGGTTGGTCTACGTGATCTTAGTGGTGCTTTCCAACCTTAATTATTTTGTTTCTATGATTCCATGATCAACGATTTTTTGGAAAGATGGTAATCCAGTGGAGAATGTTACATCACAGGATCTGGCGGACAATAAGCTTTACCTATCTCAAGAGCTGACCCTGACCATTTCCTGTTATCTAAGCCAATGATTCCACTGCTATTTAGAATAGTGCAGGAATATCCTTGCATAACTTTGCAGCTAAATTAATCCTTGGTTTGAGTGTGTGTGTGTGTGTATGAACAATAGATTTTCTGTGCTAAAACTATCAAAGCCTCTGACAGGCAGCTGCTCTGCTCCCTTGGGCAAATATCTTACAAGGAGCTGCTGCAACAGCCCTGATTTGCATGTTTGATGCATTGCTGTGTCTCAGTTTAAAAGGAGGCAATCTGCTGGGTCTTAGTTCATTGCATGCCTGTTGAAGCACTGGACTGCAGCACAGTAGCAATGGTGGAGTTTTTTTTGAGACACAGAAATAATTTTCTCTCCCAGGAGTATAATTTATATCTTGATTAATCTAAAAATTTGGGGGTTGTATGCTAGGGGATGCAGGGGGAATCTTTTAGTAGCACAAAAAAGGAAAGGAAAGCATCTGCTGAAATTGCTTTCATACTGGAAAATCAGCTACGCTTAAGGCAAATGCAGTGCCTCAGCAGAGCAGAGACAATTTCAGGTAATTAATGTTCTTCCTTTACCAGCACTGGGAAAATAGTGGACTTTAGCAGGAGATTTATACAACTTCATGCCAAAACTTGAAGCTGTGGAAAGAGGGTGATTCATAAGAGAAAGTTCAGAATTGGCATGCCGGAGCTAAGTCCTGAGTCAAGGACGCTGAGTTGTAGTTGAGGTTTAAGCCATTCTCTTCCATAGGTAGTGAGTTGCTTAAGTCATTTTTCTTATTCTGAGTCAGACATCCTCCTAACAAACCCATGTTTGGGAAATAGATGCAGTAACAGCAGGGAACTGAACTCTGCTTTACAGCTCCAGGAACACATGCCTGCCCTGGCATGTGACAGTGACAGCAGTGGAAGCAGTAGAATTTTTTTGTCATCTCAATGGATACCTTCATCAGCCAAGAAAGTTTCATCTTGGAGGTCAGAAATTAAGAACTGCAAAAGCCAATCTGAGATAAATCCACTCATGAAATGAAACTAAACGTGAAAAAGTCCCTATGAATTGCACTTGCAGTGACATAAGGTTGAGGATTCAGATGTTGGAGATTCCCTCACCTGCAGTAATCACTGACAGACATTTCTCTTCTCACCATACTCCTAGGGTATAGGCAGACCAACAGTTACTTATTTCTTAGTCTTCAACATGCAGAGCAGAGCAATGTAGTGTGAATATAACTAAAAATGGATATGATCAGGTTTAATGGAAGTAAGTCTAATTCTATTTCTTTTTCTTTTTTAGCCAACCTTTCCTAAGAGATGGAGTATTTACTCCATCTCACTTGCTACCACAGCCTGTCCTGGAACACAGCTGCCAAACTATTGTGATGAGTTGGCTTCTTGCAAGTATGTGGTAGGCTTGCACTTTTGCTGTTT